AAAGTATTTTTATTTCCCAAATCCGAATATTTTTCAATCTGAATCACATGTGATATGTATTAAGGACTTTTTGTTTGTCATTTATGGCAGATATTTTTAGTATTACTTTGAAATTGAATTGAAAAAGTTCCATCTTTTTATAAATAACAATAGTCTTTTGATAATGTGTAGGATCAAATTATTTAGTAAAATCTATATCTATACATACAAATAAATAAAATTGAAGTGTCTGTTTGTAATGTCAAAATACGAGTCGGTTATTTGCTCGATACCTATGCCTAAAAACCAGTTGAATTATTTTTTGTCTCTCTGTCTACCTGTCTGTTTGTTCGGGTAATCTTCTAAACGGCTGGACCGATTATTATAATATTATACTACCAGGTAGCTGCCTATATAAGGAGTAACTTCGGCTATTGTCCCTTTAAAAATTTTGCCCGTTCCGGGAATCGAACGCACTAAGGCAGCGCTTTTCAAATTCCACGAAGTCGCAGGTACAAGCTAGTATAGAATAAAATAAATAAGTAATCTATACTAATATTATAAAGCTGAAGAGTTTGTCTGTTTGTTTGTTTGTTTGAACGCGCTAATCTCAGGAACTACTGGTCCGATTTAAAAAATTATTTCAGTGTTAGATAGCCCATTTATCGAGGAAGGCTATAGGCTATATATCATCACGCTAAGACCAATAGGAGCGGAGCACCAATGTAGAATGTTTCGAAAACGGAGAAAATTCATTACTATTGAGAGACGCAGACGAAGTTGCGCGGGTCAGCTAGTGTTATATTAATTGTGGGGTTCTCATGTTTCGGCACATAGGTATGAGTCGGGCTGACCGAGTTGATACCACGGCCTCACAGAAAGCAATGTTAAGTTATAGTACCCTATGTGTTTGGGCTCCGGTAACCTACCGGACTGCACAGATGGCGTAGTGGTTTAAGCGGTCGCTACGCCGCTTCCTATTACGTCGAGTGTTGTGGGTTCAAACCCCACATGGGACAACACTTTGTGTGATCCACAAATTGTTGTTCTGAGTCTGGGTGTACTTTGTGTCTGTTTCATGTATGTTTGTAAAGTCCCCCGCGACACAGGATGTATTCCTAGTGCGGGAGTTATCTTAAAAAAAAAAAGCCTACCTCCTAGTTTGGGGAAGAGAAGATATTTAAACTGCGGCAACGCACATGTCTCTTGTGTCCATGGGCGTCGGTATGCCGTCACTTACAAATGCCGAATGGTACAAAATGCCGAATATAACAAATCTGATTTAGTTTTCAGCCTATTATTATAATTCAAAATTTTCAATGTTTCTAACGTTTATAATAATAATAATAATATATTTATTTGCTTCAAACATGTGTAGTTTACAGGAAATGAATCCTAAACAGTTCAATTGGTTATTTTTTGTGTATCAACATGTTTTGCCATGGACGGCGTACAAATATAAATTGATTGAGATAGTAATTAAATTAGTTTCATAAATAATACAATAATATAATTATATGGGCTAGGAATGTCAAAAATGACAAAAATAAAATAGAATGTCAGAATTAAATGTCAAAATGAAAAAAAAAAAACCTATAAAATGTATGTCAAGATAAATAGTTACAGCCAAAGAGAAAACCTTGTAAAAATAATAATAAAATTAATTAAGAGTTATCGTTTAAGTAGTCGTGAATTTATATAATAGCATTTCTTAACCAACATTTCCTTAACTCTGCTTCTAAACAAATTATGATTCAATGACTTAAACTCTTTTGGTAATTTATTATATATTTTGGGTGCCATACAGATTACACTACTAGCCAAATGAGCAGTTTTGGCACTGTGCATACGTAGTCGTTGATTGTCTCGTTTGTTGCGCTGAACTGTATCAGACAATCTTGGGAAAGATAATAATTACTATACTTACTCAAAATGCCGAGCTTCAATAGATCGAATAACAAAAAGTCCGACTTAATGATATTAGGTGCTTACATATGAAATTGGCGTTTTATACGGGTGGAATATAAAGTCAATTTTTTTTTTTGGAAAATTTATGAAATTAATCAAAGTATGCACCGTTGTTATCTATGCACTTTTACCATCTCATAGGTAGTTCATAGATCCCTTTACTAAAAAAACCATGGGGCGAGAATCAATAAACTCTTTGAAGACGGTTTGGACTGAGTTAAATTTTTTTCCTTGTAAGAAGTTGTCCAAAATCCGGAAAAAAATGGTAATCTGTTAGAGCAAGGTCCGGGGAGTACGGTGGATGTCGTAGACATTCCGATTGTAACTAATCTAACTTAGTGGTTGTTTGTTGTGCAGTGTGTGGTCTTGCGTTGTCGTGACGCAGCAGTGGCCTAGAGCGATTGACCAATCTCGGTTGTTTAGCAGCTAGTTCTTCCTTCATGGTTTGCAGTTGCTGACAATATATATCTGCCGTAATCGTTTGGCCAGATTTTAGAAATCTGTAGTGAACGACACCGGCGCTAGTCCACCAAATACTCACAAGTACCTTTTTCTGATTCAATTTTCGTTTAGGGCAGTATTTGGGTGGGTCTCCAGGGTTCAGCCATTGCGACCAGCGCTTCCGGATATCGTACAGTATCCACTTTTCATCACAAATAAGGATTAGATTTAAAATCCCTTCATTATTGTGTCGGTTGAGCAAAGTAACACAGCAGTCGACGCGTGTTTGCAAGTTCGATTCACTCAATTCGGGCCTGTTGGTCTAGTGGTTAGTAACCCTGACTGCTAAACCGGAGGTCGTGGGTTCGATTCCCACCCAGGACAAATATTGTGTGATGAGCACGGTCATTAGTTCTGTGTCTGGGTGTAATTTATCTATAATATGTATATATTTAGAAATATATAAGTATGTTTATCAGCGGTCTGGTCACCATAGTACAGGCTCTGCCTAGTTTGGGATCAGACAGCCGTGTGTGAGTGTGTGGGGATATATTATTATATTATATTATTAATTCATGAGGTACCCATCGTTCAAGTTGTTTTACTTTCCCGATTTGCTTCAAGTGGATTAATACAGTTTTATCACTTACCCCGAAGCCTGCAGCTATCTTTGAAGTGCTTTGTGATGAATCCGCTTCTACAATAGCCTTTCATTTTTCATTTTCCACTTTGGCCTCCGGCCGTCCACGGGGTTGGTTCTGAAGGTCGACATTTCCAGAACCAAAACGTTGAAACAGAAAACTTACCGTGCTTTCTTTTGCGACACCAACGCCGTACACATCATTAATCCTTCGAGCTGTTTCTGCAGCACTGGTGCCACGGTAGAACTCGTACTCGTAAATATACCGATATTTCATGTTTTCCATTCTGCGGTAATAAGCAACGCCAAAGAAAAAAATAATAAGAATATAACAAATGAATGACTGTTTTCAAAACTCAAATGTACCAGCTAAATGAATTTATAAATTTGAATTTGGAATTCTTAACCAAAGAGGAGAGTTTTCAGATCAAAGTAGTCAGTACGACAAAACGCTAATTTCATATGTAAGGACCTAATAATTCGAAACATCTAAAATTCCCTTATCGTCCCTTGTGATCGTTTATGTTGTGAAATCTAGAAAAAGTATCAGTTATCAGCTGTAAAGAATACACCTCTCTACAATTTGGTCTTGACTTGGTTGCCTTAGTGTTAGAGTGACTTCTAAAATTCAGGTGAAGATATAAAATAACTTACACACAAAAAAATATTCAGTAGAAATTAGAACCTCCTCCTTTTAGCCATCGATTAAAAAGATGTCAAAGTCTCAAACGTTTACAAGTTACTCATTTTAAAGTAATATATAATGAGAACGAGAATGATATTCTCATTTAATAAAATGAGCTGAATATATTTTCCCGCCATCTAGCGATGACAATCTAAACTATGTTTACACGAATGTTGCATTGAAGGAGGTGGAATGCACTATTACATCTACTGTTAAACCGAATCTTCTAAAAAACCAAATAAAACGCATAAAAAATCACAAACACTTCGTTTTCAAAATAGAAACTATTATAAATAAATTATTATAACAAAAAGATTACTGTACTGTAAGTAAAGATTACTGTGAATAATTTAGCTGTTTTGTTGATACATCTTATATGATATAAGTATATTAGATTTTATATGTATATAAGGTATGTTAATTGAAGTGTTCGTAAACCACTGTTAAAAACGAGAAACAATGTGTTTTTTAAAAGCGGTATAATGTTTATGGTTAAAAACCATTTAAAAACGCTAAAAAGTTACCTTGAGCGCACTATTTCCCTCATTTACTACTTATGAAGGTGAATTGTTTTTGCAATGTCAGGGCTCCTTAATATTTTAATTTTTAGTTACTATAGATAAACATTAGTAAAAACTTAAGAGCCTGCTAAAATATATTAGCAACAACCCAATGACAGGCATCGTTTTTTTACAGGCGTTATTAATGTGGTAAAAGTAGGAAGAAATGGGTTCCGCATTTAAGCAACGAGAAAATAACATTTATATGTGAAAGGTGTAAGAATATAAGTGAAAATGACTTGATATTCCATAAAAGGTAAATAAATAAGCTAACTGCTGTTCTTTTAAGCAAACGTGCAAAGCTAAAAATAAAATGTAAAATGTGATTACGCTTTGAAAAATATTGATTTTGACAGGAAAAAAATTCTATGTAAAACGGAACATTAACAAACGTTTAGAAATATTAAATAATTTAAGTAAATACGTTTTACGCACTTTTAAAACAAATAGAAAATTAAATAAGACTTTTCTATCTTTAGTTGTAAAATAAAGTAACAAATCAATAAATTTACTTTCTCCATAATGTGAACTGACATTTGTAGTCTCCATTTTGACAAGAAGCAACCTTACGACGCATGTCGGGTGTGACGTAGTTTCAGAACGTACTTATGTCAACTGAATGAACTACTTACTGCCACTTGCGTGTGCGTACAAGTCCAGTTGTGAATTTTACAAAACTGTTACGGTTTTTTATATAAAAAAATAACAGTGCGCGTGACATCGAGTGATGGCTGGAAAACTGAACAAATTCGAAACTCCTAGCTCCGCCAGCTCAGATAGGTAAAGCGAGTGTAATAACCTTCTTTAATGTTTATTTGGACAGCTGGCTGAAGTAATAAAAAATGTTGTTGAAGAATCATTTTTCAGTGTTAGCTTAGTCATCGTGCAGCTTGCAAGCCGTATTCGCGTGTCGTGTTTTGTGTTAAACATTATTGTTTCGTGGAAGCAACGCTGCATTATAACCTCTGCAAGTTTTGTGATATTTTTAGAAAATCGTTTAGTTCATTGGCAGCTAGCTTCTTGCTGAATGATCGCGGTGTGACTACACGTGGTCGGAACTGAAAGCTAAACATAAGGATATCGTAAATAACGAGGACATGGCGTCAGGTTCTTTGATCTTCGCAAACCCGTAAGATTTTCTGTCATTACAATATAAAGACGTTTATGTGACTAGCTGCCGGCTTTACTGTCGCTTATGTGTAGTACAAACACGCAATCATGTTATTTTGCATAGTTTATAATTGATATTAATTTTGCACACCTTAATATACCCCTAAATGACCAGTTCACTGCCCTACACTTTTATTTTATAAGTATAAACATGAGATTAAACAGAGAATGATTGTTGACTAAACAAAAAATACATATAATTAACATATAATTTACATAAATTATTGGAAAATAAAAATAATATGTTTATAATCTTAGATATATGATTAAAATTGCTCCTTAATTCTTATCTGAACCAACAGTAGCATGTCAAAATTATCAATAAAATACATATTTACACTGAGTCATTTTAAGATACACATTTGTTTATTTATTTATTATGTAACTACATAGGCATTCTTAACACATAAAACATTCTCTACCAATCTATTACTAATATTTTTTACTAAGAACAACCAGTTGTTTTTACATTAAATCTTATTCATAGATTCAATAAATTTACTAAAAAGCAGCTTAAATGCGTAGCATTTTACATTGTCACAGCATGCACGAATTTATTTATTTACTAGCTAGTACCCGTGACTTCGTTGAGTTGAACTTGAAAAGACCTACCTACTACAATAGTGTATGCATTGTTAAAAACATGTATAATAATAAATAATACCTATTAACAATTTAAACAACCTTACTCATCCCACAACACAAATGAAAGTGTAACACAAGTGAAAGTAAAATGGCAAATAAAAATAAATTACCTAATAAAATAAACAATTAATAAGGGAAGTACTAAAATCAAAGAATAAAATTATATATATCTGGTATGGTATGTCTAAAAGTATTTCTTGGACATCAGAGCAGAGTCAAAAGAGTCATGTAAAAAAGACCTGTTTCTTAGCATTCCATGGATTCACAGTGCGGGGTGCCGGATCCATCGGATGATAGTTGGGGGCAACAACCACACTGGGACTTTGACAGCATCTGGGAATGGAGACCCAGGTATAGGTTTAGGAACTACTCCTTGCAAAGCGTCGGCGCTCACCTCCACTGTCTGCTGTGTTACCCCCTCTACCTAACCATATTTGATACGAGGATAGCAATGTCGCTTTGGATATTCGTCACAAGAAAAGAGCTTACTGAAGCTCTTTGCAATCCAAGGTCTTTAAGCAGGTTATAGAGGGACTTACTTGGTATACCCATTTTTAGTGATTTTGTTAGTTAAATCATATATTATTTGTATAGATAACGTTAAAAAAGAGGCATTTAAAATTTGAATTTCAACAACTTAATACATACTTTACACATTTCGTTCATGGGCAGCGGTGGTCACTTTCCATCAGGTGATCCGGCTGCTCGTCTGCCCCCGTCTTATATATATATATATATAAATATGGATATAATATGTTAGATAAATCACACTCAGACTCAAAATCATGAATGTGACTCTTAGATGCAGATTAAGGACATAAACTCCAAGTCATTGATTGTTTCAAGGGAGCACCAAGCTTCAACAAGTATGGCCTGGTTCGACAGAAGTGATAGCACAGCTTCCATATCATCGAGCGAATGAAGTCACCAAAGGCCCAAACAAACGCAAACAACAAAAAGGCAACACACTTCTGTCTTTTCTTTCTTCGCGGTACTCGCTTACCATCACGTGACCCTTTCCCTCGTTTGCCCCCCAATAGGGTAGAAAACAAAATAATCATCACGAAATGTTTTGTCATGAGTCGGGTAGGTCCCCTCAACCCCTTTGAAGCTTTAAGAGATTTTTTTTTGTCTAAATTATGAACGAGAATCATTTATTATTATTTGATATAGTAATCTAACCTTTATATACATATTAATTGTATGTCATGTTAAGTTATCTTTTTGTGTCACAGATCTCTGTTCTGTGTTTATTGTACAGTAGCACTGACTGATATTATAATGACAAATTGAATGTCAATTTTACTGCCCTTGTCCTAATTTTATTTAAGGTTAGGGCTATTTATAACTGTATAAAGGGTGTTTGCTGGTTTCTTTTATGACAGGTCACATTTCTGACGCCAGCTTTCCTTGGGGATATCACCATTTTCAGGTGGGTTTGACTTCCGGTTGACCTATAATTGTCAATTTTGGTTAAAAGCAAGGTACTTTCTACGTACTTACAAATTTTCGCGAAAATCTACGTAAAATTTGGGTAGGTATGGAACCCTCGGCGCACGAGTACCGAGTGACCGGTTTTTTTACAGTGTAGTTCGGCAAACAAGCAGATGGGAAACCTATCATGTTAAGTCGCAAACCTTTGCCGGTGGTGCTTCCCTGTTTAAAAGGTTGTTACTTCATTTTGTCTCCCGCTTTGCTAAAGAGGGAAGTGCATTTATTGTATCTCCAACTCCTCCATTTTTCTTCTGATTAATTTCGTTGCGGGTTCCAAGACAGTTTAATTTTTATCCTGCGACTTCCTGAGTGTCATAACTCGGTGTGTTCGTGGGTTGCTGCTATTGATCCTGGTGTACAGGAGTTACAGTGGTGGGCGTGTGGGAGGGAGGGATTGTTCTTATAAAAAAAAAGTGCTTTGCCCTCCTTTGAGTTTTCTCCCAGATTAATTGGAGGGTTTGGTCAGGGCTGGATTTAGGGGAGGGAAACCGGGCTACAGCTCTGGGGCCTCCACAAAAGAGGTGCCCCCACAAAAGAGGGGCCCCCATAATAGAGACTTCGGAAAAAAATATACAAATTCAGCCTAGTAAACAACTTTTCCTTTGATTTTTTTTTCGCGTTTTACCTTTACCTACATTACTTTGTACAGACATGATTATATAAAATATTAACAGAAATCATCAATCTATCTTTATTCACTCCAATCAGAAAAACAGTAAAATATCAAAATCTCAAATGGCCCTGATAAGCACTTGCAATTTACTCTACGCATCTTGAGGGAGTACCCCACTGGCTCAAAGGCTGAGTGGGGTGGTACTCGCTCGCAACCTCGGAGGTTGGGTATTCGATTCTGTTTCTCTTTATTCTTTGAATTATACGAGTATACATGTATACATTAGCTTGAAATGGATTTCCGCAAAGTAACGCCGGATTGAACCTTGAAATTGCATTGAGAATGTATTTAGTTTTTAAGGTATCAAATTGCACTGGAGAGTGCTGCATTTTCAAAAATAAAAATAGGCTTCGAACCACGATGGGACGAAACCGTCTAATAAAGCTTTCTCTCCTGAGCATTGAAAGTGATTTACTTCGGGAGCTGGATCTCAGCGAAATCATCAACAATTTTTCACCGAAAAAAGGTCGAAAGGTTCCGTTCGTCAACGCTAAAATTTTATAACAGATAATTCTTGTTTCCAATTATATTCATATGTTTGTTAAATAATAAAAGAATCTATACATGGTTTCACCATAAATTATTTATTAAAAAACTCGACTGACTTACTGAAAATTGACCATTATATTTGGAAAATATTTTGGGGCTAGGGGCCTCCACTATTTTGTTGCCCCGAGGCCTCCAGACCTCTAAATCCTAGGCATTGGGTTTGGTCGTTTCTTAACACTGATTTCTTGTGAGGCTGTGGTATCACTCCGGTTGAGCCGGGCCATTTGTGCGAAAGTTTGTCTCTCCCACGGAAGATAAAAAACGGATAGGGCGAAGGAGCTAGAGTAAAGGATACCACAAGCCACAGATGGCAGAATCAGAACTGAGACTGTGTACATACATACAGTCATAACTTAAGTGGTAGGCAGAAGTGTAGATACAAGATACAAGATACAAGATATTTTATTTGCATAAACATGTGTACATTAAAGATGTTAAGTAATATTGCCTGATCGACATGTTTGACCGTTACCGGTGTACAAATATAAAATTAATTTAACAATAGCATTTTTCTACATGTAACATAAAATCGTTTAAAAACATTTTAAAAAATCAAAAAAAGAAGAAAAAACAATTACAACGAAAGGACTCGAATATCATGGTTATAGGTGTACATTATCAACTATTAACCGTCTACATTAATTTATTTAATCTAAAACATTCAATATTCAACATAAATATATTTACTGCAATCAATAATCCATCAATCATACAAAAAATCATCAATGATACATTATATCATTATGGTTATAAAGTGTTGTCATTCAAGAAATCCTCTAGTCTATAATAACAATTTTCAGCTAATAATGTTTTAAATTTCGTCTTAAATTCATTCATGTCCAAGATCTTAATATATTTGGGAATTTTGTTAAATATCAATGGCGCCTTACATACGACACTTTTATGCATCAGGGCTGTTTTTGCTGGATGGACACAAAGTCTATCATTGTCGCGGCGATTACGGCTTACATGGTCCGATAGCTTAGGAAATAAGTGAGGATTTTTTTTTACAAAGGTAGCCACCTCCAATATATATAGGGACGGTAGTGTGAGAATTTTGTATTTTTTAAAAAGCGGATTACAACTTTCACTACTTTGGATTCCGAACATGGCTCGAATGCATCGCTTTTGCATTTTAAAGATTACATCTTTACAAGTCGAATTTGCCCAGAAAATAATGCCATATCTCAGAACCGACTCAACAAGGCCATAATATGCTGAGAGAAGTGCATCAGTAGTAACTATTGGA